TGTTTATTACCTGTTTATAATTTAATAAAATTAATAAGATGGTAAGTTTTAATAAAGCTTTGGGGAAAGGTGCAGTACTCTTTTGTGCTAGCTACACTCACGCAAAATAACATCAATAGAGTAGTGCAATCTCAAGACGCAGGAAGTGGATCTAAGAATCAGAGCAGAATGTTCCTTGAAGACATCAGCCCAATTTACTGCCTGTGATCAAAATAGGCAACAAAACTCACAGGGCATCATTAGGAAGGATATTAGAAATAAAATGGAGGGGCTGGCCCAGTGGCATAGCGGTTAAGTTTACACGTTCCACTTCAGCAGCCCAGGATGTGCCAGTTCAGATCCTGGGTGTAGACCAACACACCGCTTGTCAAGCCATGCTGTGGTAGGTGTCCCACATATAAAGTAGAGGAAGATAGGTATGGATGTTAGCTCAGGGCCAGTCTTCCTCAGCAAAAAAAAAAAAAAAAGAGGAGGATTGGTGGCAGATGTTAGCTCAGAGCTAACCTTCCTAAAAAAAAAAAAGAAAGAAAGAAAATGGAAAACACAGCCTACCCAAAGCCATGATGGGACCTAGAACCAAAGGAGTGTTCCAGAAGGCAGCCAAGCAGGTTGCTACTTTCTCACACCTCAAGATAGTTATAACAGTGCAAGAAAAAGTTATGAGAGAACACCTAAAATAATCAAGATCTAGCCTTCATTTTCCCACTGCCTCAAGCTGACACGTATTATACTATTTTTCACTTATCACTTGTCATTGATCATACCACTTATCTCCCCTTCCCTCCCATCCCACCCATTCCCACCTCCAAAAAGACACACAGACAGACACAAGCAGGACTGCAGACCCTTATGAGCCAGAGGTCATATTGCCTTCAAGTCTGTTCTCTTTACACAGTGCACTTGATAAATCAAAGGATTTTCATAGCCAATGGGTTCTTTAAATGGGGAAGGACCATTTAGCCTGGGGAGTCTGACAAAGTTCTATACAGTAATAAAGGCTGAGAACATGTTGAAGATGCGTAGCAAAACTTATAATAGGAGAACGATGAAAAACCTCAAAGCTTTAAGGCAGTAAGAAAAAAAGGATTAAATATTAATTTACAATGGGTAAAATTATCACTGTATTATCCCAACATGACACAAAAGAAACTGAAGACAAGAAAGTCTATTTTCTCTCCGTGTGACTTCCAGCAGGTTACCTTCATTATTGCTCTCTATGAAGCTGGTGACAGGGTCCTAGCCGCTGTCGAGGTTATAACTGAGCAACCTCGTCCACTTCAGTTATAATCAGCAAAAAGCGAGCATAGTACAAAATAATCCCACAGCTCCTCAATTCTTCCATAGACACATTAAGAGAGTGGAATATTCTATTACTAGCTATGAGTAAACAGGTCAAGTCCTAGTCAATAACATTGGGCGTATCACAAACCTTCAAAGACAGGGAAAAAATGGGATTTATCAGCATTTTGTCTCAGCTCAAGCTGCCCCTCCTCGTGGAAGGTCCCCAGGCTGGGTTGTGGTTCATGCCCTCTGACAGTGCCCTGTGCGTTCTATGTGTCAGCCTTCCCCCCTTGGGGACGTGAGCTTCCTCATCACTGCTGTAAGCCCAGCACCCAGCACAAAGAAGCACTCAGAATGAGCTGAACCAATACATTCAATTAATCAGAAAAAGGAGACTTTAGGAAAAATCTATACTCAAGAATAAAATCTATCCCAACTTGGTTTGCTCAAATCTAACTGTGGTACTCTCCAAATTCAGTCAGTCCACAATCGCCAGATAAGCCCATTTCCCAGTGTAATACTCACCATGGGATTGACTCATGCCACTCAGGTATGAAAGGAACCTTCCTGTACAAGATCACACAGCTGCAGCCTTACAAAGCTAAAGTCTGCACTCAAGACATCTGATTTTCACGTCAGAGCCAAACTTAATGATGGTAAAAAGGCTTTTTCTTCACTACATAGTTCTCCATTAGTTTATTAGCTTATTAATTTATACTCTACCTTGTTCCAAAAGGATTTCAAGTGATTTACATAAACACATAGAAAATTAGATTCGAAAGTATTTTAATAAGCAGATAAGAAAAAGCAGACTGTGATAAAATAGTAACACAGGAAAATAAGAAGCAAAGTCAAGGGCAACACAAAAAAATTCATTTTGAAAAAGCCTATATACCTATTGGAATTGAGTTGCATGTTTGGAACTAAGCTTTCCTTTAACAGTCAACTGAAGAGGTGGCTGAGGTCAGTCACATGAATCATAACGTATATAAAATAAAAATAAAGTAGTTCATCAGGAAAATCACAACCATTCAGAGTATGAAGAGAAAAAATTTATTCCACAGCTCCTCATAAAGGGAACACTAAAACATAGAAATAACTATAATAATAGCTAACAATTAGCACTAACTTAAGTGTTATGGAGGTGACCCAAGGGAGCGTCAACAGGCAGGGCTCCCTTAAGAAAGGATTTGGCTGGTTCAAACCAAAGAGTGAAATGATCTCCAAATGCCTGTCCCATGGAACAGGTCTCAACAGGGCTAATCTGGATAACATCCAAATATAGTACCATCAATTGTCACTCACGACCACAGCAAACCCATGGAACATTCTGCCTTGGACTACATAACCTCTTGGTGTAGCTCCAGAACAAAAGGGTTGTAATATAACTCTACAGAGCTGAAAGGTCAACACGCTAGGGGAGATTATTAAAGATGAGCCAGTTATTGTTTAGGGGAAACTACAAAAAATTTTGAAAAAAGACTTTGCTTTTAGAATAAGTGATTATAACCCCTCTTCTCAACAGCTTCTCCAAGTTCAAGTTCAGGACCATAAAGCCATTTCACCAGAATTTACTCATTAACTGAGCACTTACTACAAATCAGGTATTGTTCGAGCTTTTGGACAGAGCAGTGAATAAAAGAGACAAAAATCCCTGCCATCATAAATCTTATTCTCGTTGTAAGTACTATAAGTAATACTTATGACTAATTACTGTTACTATACTTATGCTATTATTCTGACTAACAGTACGTCAGGTGAAGATAAATATTATGAAGAAACTATGGCAGGGAATCAGAGAAGGGTGTGCTGGAAGATTGCACTCGTGGTCTTAGAAGCCTCACCGAGAAGGGGAAATCTGAGTAAAGCCCTGCAGGAGGCAGGAATGAACCAGGTAAACACCTAGGTAGAGATTTCCAGGAGGAGAGAAGAGTAAGGCAGCCTGAGAGGCTCGAGGGAAAGGAGGGATGAGGAAAGAGTGAGAAGTAAACAGGAGTGGGGAGGAGGAAGTAGCAAGCAGTGGGCCTGCTGGGGATAGACCTGGAGGCCACTGTAAGGATTTTGGATTTAACTAAGCAGAGAAGTGACGGTCTGACTTTCCTTTGCAAAGGATCACTGCTGCGTGGAGAAGAGGACCTAGGGTCAAGGACAGAAGCAGGAAGACCAGTTCAGAGTGAGAGGGTACATCTTTCCACCCGCTGCACGTCAGCCACATGCAAGCACAGTCATGTCATCTTTCTCAGTCTGCTAGAGCGGGCAAGGGCGGTGTACAGAGAACATCTGACCCAATGCACAGGAGCAGTGTTTCAAAATCCAGAGTGCAGACAGAGGCCCTGGCAGACTATTATTCCCTCCTGCAATAAAATAAAAAGAAAAACAAGCAGAGTCTCTCAAAGGTGGGGTAACCAAAGACAGGTCAGCGTAGCCTGAGGGGGCAGAAGCTTGTAGCCTTGGAGAGGCATTGCCATTACTGGCCAGGTAGTCCTAGGGCTGTCAGGGTTATGGATTACACTAATGGGACAGATGCTGTAATGAGCTAGTCCTTATAATCTCTGATACCAGTTATTCTCAAAAGTCTATTCCAAAAGACATTAGAGTTTAAAATATTTAATAGTTAATACAGCACCACTTAAATTCCATACCCACACACAGCACTGCCTTCCAAAATGCATCTGATGCTCAAATGATGCTCTCCTTTCTTCCTCTCAAGGATCTGAGAGCTAATGTCACATAAGCCCCTCCACAAAAGGCATTCTCTCTTGGGGCTCCTGCAAGACTGGGGCAACCTGATCTGATCCCAGGGTGCATATGGCACACCAGCATTCCCTCTGGGTCTCAGATGGCAGCCTAACGCTACCATCCCAGAAAGGGTTTCAGGGCTTCCACACACCTCGTCCTCACCATACTGACTGGCTGCTGGCCAGACTCACACACAGAAACTCACGTGAGTATTATTCTCACTCATTTTGACAAAAACTGTGATAAGAACAGAAGGGAAAATGGCAGGGCATCCCGTGGGAGGAGAGGACCAATATGCAGCTTTTTCATGAGCCTGGTATTTGTGAGCAGGCCATGGAGAGGCACACCCATCTGTGACTTGACACCTCCTCGTGCATTGTGAAGGGAGGAAAGAACACAGAAGTGTCATGTCAAACTAAGCTTCCTTTTCTCAAGAGCCTTCACCCAAAAACATTATAGTTGGATTTGAAATAATAAAACTATAAATATTTCTCATACCCATTACAGTTTTCTTTCTTGCTCCCTTTAAATCCCCTGAATCAAAAAGGACTGACCACAAGCCATTAGTAAGAAAAATCAAACCAAGTAAAAGACTAGGATGTAAAAGGACGGGATAATTGACTATCACTGGTAGGGGATTCACTATCTAATACCGTAAATACACACTTTGCCAAGTATTATTTCTAGGACTAGACCAAGAACATGCAAGCTCATAAAGCTAACTTAGAAAACCATTCAGCAATCAAATATCTTACTCCAGCTTCTCTTTCTGTATGTATTCAGCTTTGATTAATACACGGCATTCTCATACATATAAACAGGCACCTTGTAATTTAAACTTAAGGCCCCTAATTACTCATTTATACACACAGACTACACATATATAAGCATACTGAAGTCAATATATTTGCTTTTCAAGTAAAGACTAGTTTATTCTAATACCATCAAACTACTTGTTAATTAAGCAAGGTAGCATTTACCAGACAGGAGGCGATCAATAGTTCTGAATCTTCTTTTGTCCAATTGTATGCTGTATATTCAAGGGCATTATTCTCTCCTTGCTGTTTGCACATATAAGCACAGTTTCTTTCAAAAACAGTGCGGATGCCTTTAAACAGAATCACACTAGTAGTGCAACCCATCCCCAAGGTGTGGATGTTCAGATTTCTAGCAATCTCTACTCCATTGCCACATCATCTTCCTTGGCTCTTCAGAGCAGGCTCCCACTGTACCATCTTCATGACAGGCAGTTGCCGGCACCGGAACAGAAGGGAAGCTCCAAGCTGTCGTACTAGAATCCGCTCCTGCCCAACAGTCTGACAAAAAAATCCAGGCTCCAAGTGTAAAACAGGAGGGGTGGTGCAAAAAGAAGATGACACACCTCAGATGCACCAAAACCTTCGAAGTATCATTTTTCCAGGAGATTGCTTCATTGTTAATACCAAAGAACAAATAAGCAGAGGATTTACATGCGGTTACTGAAAAACTGCCGGCTCCTGTGATTTGCTTGGGATTGTTCTGAATCCCAGAACCTGCCCAAAATGAAAAAGACAGTGCCAGACAGCCACCCTGCTGCAGATGCTGCTGGAAGGCACAAAGAATGTTCATCTGCTGCAAAAATCATTCTCCCAGAATGCTTAGCCTAGCATCTATATTAGCAAACATCTCTTTCCTTGACCTAAATATGCTGTTTGTTTAATCCTGCATCAGCGAGGAACAGAGAAGCAAAAGAAAAAAAAGTCCAAAAACGAGAGAAATCACTAAGATGACTGCTGCTATGGAAACATGTGTAAGCCACTTCAAACAACCTTTTGCATGTGTGGGTAACAGCTTGCTGACAGCAAACCACAAGGGAACACAAAATTGCTGTGTCAATCTTGACTTCTGCCCACTTTCACTCTTTGCTAGAGAGAAGGTTAGCAAGTTTTCACTGCTTAACAGGATTCTCCCATCTATGGTACCCAAAGATGCAAATGAGAACATGGATAAAGGGTTACCTGTCAGGCTGAACACATAGCTTCTGAAGCAGCACTCCAGTATGAAATGCTAAATACACAATGAAGTCCCACAGTCAATATGGTTATTATTTTTGGTGCATTAGTAATCCAGATCCTTCCATTGCAAACCGAACTGAGTGAACACTATACTACCTTATGTGTATCTTTGGGGATTGCTAATAGAGAAGCTTGTCCTTGATATAATACTAAGTTGACTCTAGCCATTCTCCTTCTAAAAAATGTCAGAAGACCATAATGAACACACAGGGAAACACCTCCGACCCACAACAGGCATCTAGAAGAAGGTGACTGCTCTTTTATGATCTGTACTGATATTATTCTTTATTTCACAAGGCAGCAGATGGTTTTCATTTTCTATCTATAGTTTTCAAAGTTTGAGTGAATTAGAAAGATTGAGCAACTGCAGGTTGGTAACAGAAAGCTGTGTAATGTTAAAAAAGCAGATCTTTAGAGAACACCACACAGTCACATAATCCCCAAATTTCTGTTTTCTATTGCCAGTTTGCCTATTATGCCCATAGATAAGCAAAAATCTAGGCTTTGTCTATCTCCTGGATTTTTATGCAAAAATCTAATAGTCACAGAAGATCAAAGGAGTAGAGACACTGGCCACATGAAAAAACAGAATAATTATATGTGGTCTAGAGTGTTCTGAATCAGAATGGTAATTGTGTTAAAATAGAGCTATAGTGTGCAAGATTACACCCAAATCCTGACATGGGAAGACCTAAGTCTTCATGTGACATCAAAATGCCGGCAGATTAATAACATAGAAACTCATCTACACAGAAACTGAATACTGGAGACTATGAAACACTTATACACATAGGTTAAATTGTCTGTTTTGAGAATTCAGAAAATTCACCAATTAACCTAACTTCTGTACTGCAAGGGAAACAATTTAAAAAGTAATAGTTCATTGAATATAAATAAAGATAGTACCTAGAAATTTAAACAATTTATTATTATTACCTATTTTAGACATCTTGTGCAGAAGCCAAGGAATATTATTTGAGATATGAAAGATTATGTTTGAACTTTACAAAGGATTATAAATGATAACCAAGCAAATTTGAAGTTGCTGGTATATTCTATTTGATTTACCTTAAAAACTCTAAGTTAATATTTAAAACAATGGGAGAGAATAGAACAATTTCCTAACAATCATTCAGAGGAAAAATGTTTTCTAGAGATGCACTAATAAGCATTGAAGCAACTGTATGAATTTTAAATATTAATCATTTTCCAACCAACAAAATTAGTGGCCAAGAAAAACAACAAAAAATATTTAGAGCAAAGGATTCAACAAGTCCAAAAAATGAGTATCGTGCTAATAGAAGCTTTTGTTTCACTGACTTTTTTGTGCATTAGAATGATCTTGGGTTAGTCTAAAGTAATAATTAGCTTGAATTTCATCAGAGGACATGAATAGATGGATGGTATCTATTAGCAATCAGTTCAGCCACCTACAGAGTACATATTTCAAATTGGAGATCCCATTAACTCTCACATCTTTAAATGTCACCTCTAATTTATGCAACGCCCAAGACTGGATGTCCATGCTTGACTCCCTTTTGAGGTCCAGGCCCATGTCTTCCTCTCCTGCTAATAATGATACCTGACTCTCCCATCACTGCCTCACCCTTGGATGATCCAAATCAATCATCTTTTTCCCCCCCAATCATCTTTTAATGTGACAAAGTAGCATGGTATATCCACAGAATGGAGTTATTATTCAGCCGTAAAAAGGAATGAAGTACCAATACATGCCACAATCCATACTGAACCTGAAAAACATCACGCTGAGTAAAAGAAGCCAGTCACAAAAAAAACTCACATTATATACTCTTATTTAAATGAAATGTCCACAACAGGCAAATCCACAGAGATAGAAAGTAGATTAGCAGTTACCAGGGGCTACAGGGAAGATGGGGTGTGTGTAGGGGGGACTGCTAATGGGTAATGAAATTCCTTTTAGGAGTAATGAAAATGTTCAGAAATTAGGCAGTGTTTCTAACATAATACACTATCTATACACAATACATAGTCTGTAAATATAGCAAAAACCACTGGTGGATTGAATACTTAAAAAATGTGAATTTTATGGTACATGAATGTAATAGAGTCTGACTCCACTTTTGATGTTTTAGTGCTGACAGTTTTTAAGTCTCACTCCTATTTCTACCCCTCTGCCCTACAGCTGGGCAAGATGAAAGGAAGTTCCAGGTGCCTCCCTCCTTTGGTGCCAGTGGGAAATTCAAACCAGTCGCAAGAACCCTCACCCCAGTGCCACCCCCTAACCACTATAAAAATCCCAAGCCAGTCTCTTTTCCCTGCTTTTTCAAGCCATTTTAGAACCTCCTTGGGACCTGCCCTGCTCTCCCAGAGGGCTTCATTAAGTGAGCAATAAACTGTTCACACCCTTTGGGTGTGTGGGTGTGTATGTGCTGTCATTAGTCTCAACATTCAAAGCAAGTTTTGGGTGGGGGTCCATCCTGTTTCTGCAGAATGGCCCCAACAGTGAGTTATACCTCAATAAAGCTGTTATTAAAAATGGGAGAGGGGAAGAGGAGAACATCCACTCTGCTCACCCCATAAGGCTGGCAAATTCAAATAAGACAACAGGAGAGAACTCAACCAAGAAATTGCTAAAAAAACATGTTAAGTAGCTACTGTTTTATACTTCAGAAAGGATTCACTGCATTACTCAAAACAGCCACCTTGCTTAATGAACTTAAGAACTTTTGAATGTTGCTTTGGCCCCCTTCTCAGGAATACACTAACCATGTAACATGAGGTGGCTGGGGCTGCCCCCAAGGTGTGCATTCGAGAGCTGGGAAAGGGGTTCCTCGCTGAACAAACCTTAGAAAGAGTGGTGGGCCTGGAGGACAGCAGTACACACAGGAGTTTTAGACCCTTGAGAGAGCACCAGTCTGCACTAATTCTGTCTGTACCGCTGTGGTGAAACAAATTAATTTTGCTAAAAATGTATCTCTAAAGTCATGCTCACATAAAATATTGGAGTCAGGTCTGCTGCTAACAATGGTATTTAATCATTCTCAAAAGTAGAGAACACCAAGTTACACAGGTGTCTCCATGTTGGTGCTAGAATATCAGGAAGGCAACCAGTCCCTGTGGGGTGCTCTGAACACCTGGCACACTCAGCAAGAGACAAGTAAATGGAGTGGAAGCAACCAACTGGGCTCCCCAGAACTGAGGGTGGTCATCTTCCAGAGATGACCAGAGTCTCTCAAAATAGAGGAGACAAAAAGTGGAAATAACCCATATGTCCTTCAACTGAAGAATGGATAAACAAAATGTCTACACGATGGAATATTATTCAACCATAAAAAAGGAATGATACATGCTACATCATAGATGAACCTTGAAAATATTATGCTTAGTGAAAGAAGCCAGTCACATAGGACCACATATTGTATGATGTTGTTGATATAAAATGTCCAGAATAAGCAAATATATAGAGATATACAGTGAATTAGTGGTTGCCTAGAGCTATGGGGCTGGGTAGGGTAAAATTGGGCAGCGACAGCTAAGGGGTACAAGGTTTCTTTTGGAGATAAAACCGTTCTAGAATTAATTATATGATGGTTGTACAATTGTGAATATACTGAAAACCACTAGATTGCACACTTTAAATGGGTGAATTGTATAGTATGTGAATCGCATCTTCATAAAGCTGTTTTTAAAAAAACAAATAGGACATATCAGGGTACACCTATAAAAAGCTGAGTTTCTGTTGAAGGCACTCTATCCTCAACATAGTTATCTCCCCAAAACATATCACTACCTCCAACACAGTGAATTCCCAAAAGTGCTCCTGGCACTTTATACGTGAAAGAGAGTACAGAAGAGAATGGTAAGATGATTTCTTCAACAAGGGCCAGTTAAAGCTATTCTGCTTTAAATTTACAGAGCACTTAATGGAAACCTTTCGTCTGGTCAATAACTTTGGCTCATTCATTTTGTTAGGCAAGGTCTGCGCCTGAGGGCCAAGCCATCTATCTCAATTCATACAAAGAAATTTATTCTGCAGATAGTTTCCCACAAAATTTTCATCTCTGCTTTAACCACAAGGCTCTCAAGATCCAAGAAAAAAAATACCATTTGGAGAAAAAGTCAGAGGAGGGATAGAAAGAGATTATTAACAGGGGATCTGAAATTTTACTCAAATCACAAAACTGGCTCTTTAGGTCATTCTAGTCACCCGGACAATGCAGGAGATTTAAATTTTAAACGTAAATTTTAATGTAAAATTTAAAGAAAACAGCATATAAATAGTGCTGGGCACATCTTTTGCAGAGTATGTTACAGGAGCATGATTCCTGCTACATGCCATACGCTGAGCACATGATTCAGTCACATGGTCTCATTTAATCCTCTGAACAACTCTAAAAGTTAAGTCTTACAGGTGATCTCACTCATGATTTCCATCTTTTGATCTTGTTACAAGTAAAGGATTTCCACAGAAACCCATCCTCTGCATAGGACCACTGAAGGATTGCAATCAACGCTGACATCAGGGGAGGGAGACTGATAAATCACAGGGAGGTTGGAGATAAGTAACCCACAAGTTCAAATGTCTCCTTAGACGAGTAGGCTTTCAAAGAACTGTCACTATGAATTATACTAAAGAATGAATTTTAAATCATGATACAGTAAATGTGTATAAGACTATTCCCCAAAAAATGTACCCTTACAACATATTTTATAGTATAAAACATTTTATATTTTATTATAATTATATATTTATATTATATATTATATATTTAACTATATTATAAAACATATTGTATACTATAAAATATGTTGTATACTATAAAATATAGTATAAAAA